GTTTTGGAAAGGGTTAGAAGGCAGTGGTATTTCCTTTAAGGAGATGAAAAGAAGTGAGAAGGTCATAGACGGAAGGAAAGGCATTGATGGCAGGGCCAAGGGGATGAAAATGTGAAAGAGAAGTTGGAAGAGGAAGGAGAGGACATGAACCTCATCAGATGCTTTTTTTAAACAGATACATAATACACATCATAAAAATACATAAAGTAAACAGATAAACATTACAATTGGATTATTTACAAGGATTACATATGATTGGGGCTGTACAGTTGGCATTCAGAGATAAGGAGGTACTGTACAGTACTAACGTCGGTAATTACATAGAGTCGGATGTAAACAGACCCGCGTAATCGACGAAGCATAGCACAATGCTGGACGTCCTTGCTTTGACAGCATGAGACAGCGATACATAGTGGTTATACAATTTACCAGTTACATAAAATTAGATGAGCGCAAAAAATGGACAAAGAGAGCAGCAGGGCTACAGGGATGTTACAAGTTCGCAGTAAGTATATTTCTGATGACTGGAGATAATGGGAATCAAAAAAGGGCAATTTGTGCTTATGTCAATTGCCCCATACATTATAACTTGTATTCCATTTACGACGCTTCCTTTAGAAATCCTTCAGGCAGCTTCCAATTTTCTTCTTACCGTAAATTGGAAGCTGCCTGTATTTAAATTAAATATAAAATATAATAAAGTTATAATATTCATTCAAAATGCAATAAAATTAATAAAATTAGATTATGTAATCTACAAGTTCAATTGGTTTCACTTGAATTTTTGTTTATATTATCATGTTTCTTAATTAATTTATAAATTTTATATTACGTATTAGCAATTTATTTAAATTAATTTTCATAAAACATAAATTAAAAAATTTTGCCATTATAAGTTCTAAAATTGGAATTTAAGTTTTTAAGAACATTTCTGGAATAAAATTTAGGTATTGAACAAGAGTTCAGAAAAGTGCTTTATAACAACAGTTCTTAAAGTTTTTATTGTAAAATTATATTCATGTACTAAAGTCCGTCCTAAAATAATATCATGTGTAGGCTCAATTCACATGTGAACTGCAAAATACCACTTATTTCTAAGATAGACGTATATAGGAGAAAACGCGATTTTTGAGTACAGTATTTAGTGTAACTTACAAGTTGTTTTTGCTCAGAAAAAAAAATCAGCATTGGCTACATCCCTTTATTAGTTCAATTTTAAGAGGAAGATTTTATTTCTTCACTATTTTCCTTTTCATTAAATATTTCAGAAAACAGCCTGAAAATGTTAATCCATGCGCTTGTTCCTTTTGCGTCGGTCACAATACCCTTCTATTCAGGTCGGATGGCCGAGCGGTCAAGGTGGCGGCACACCGCTCGAATCCGGACGGGTCAAAGAATCCCCAGGAATTTTTCGGGGGTGGTCCGTTCGGATATGTCGGGCCCCGTCCCTCACCACCCGGTCGCCCTATTGTGGGCTTGACCGAACCCATAATGGGCCTGCTTTAAGAGGCCCTTTTAGTGCCCACAGGGCGGAAAGAGTTAAAATTAAAAAAAAATAAAAATACCCTTCTATTGCAACATTCCAGATTTCAGGGGCCTTCCTAACTTTATGACTAAAAAGTTCTAAAGCGATTTCTTCTGGAGAAGTAGCACCCTTCGTGTTAAAAACAACAGAAAACGACGGATGTATGCACTATATCAGGGGTGTCCAACCCGAGGCCCGCGGGCCACATGCGGCTCAAGGCAAGTTCCAATGCGGCCCAATAAACGTGTAAACAAAACCAACAAATTTTTTTATTTATTTCAATGGCATAAACTCAAAGAAGACTAAAAAACTCAAAAACTCAAAGTCTTAAACCTTTATACATATTTTATTTTTGAATGGAAAGGAAATATTCTCAAATACTTGGGAATGTGTGAATGAGGAATACTAAGGAATACGCTGGAAGGAATACTAAATAAAGCTGTAGTTGTGACTCAAAGGAATCTAGAGTCAAATTCGGGGAAAGGAGTGAAAAGCCAAAAGATAAAAAGTAATGAAAAAGGTTAAATAGACCTTGTTTTATGCACACATTGACCCATAATTTTCCAACCTTCCTCACTTCTTTACCTTTCGTCCTTTCTCTCCTTTCCGTGCTTTTGGGTCTATAATCCTTTGAGTTCCAACTCCAGCATTATTTAGTATTCCTTCCAGCGTTGCAAGATTTGGCTACTTTGCGCCAAATTTGGCTACTCTTTTATTTTATTAAGTTTTAATACTTATTACTATAATCTCGACATGCTAATCCTTAAATATACAAGTATATTTAAGGATTTGGCCAAAATATACTTGGGCCACAAGTACAGTATATATAATATACTTGTGGCCAAAAACTTCATGACTTCTTCCAATATGGCCCAGAGAAACAAAAAGGTTGGACACCCCTGCACTATATGATTGAGGACAACGCACCGTCCCATTTTCGTGGGAAATTGTGGAAAAAATGGACGTTATCGTACCCTAATTACGCCATATGTAGGCCTATGTGTGCAGTGCTACATTTAAATTAATGCCCTGCTTTGTCGCTTGGCAATTTGCAGTAATTCACTTTAGGCAAAAAAATCTGTTCGCATGCATCGAGCCATACATAGACATTTTGCAATAATTTCTCCCAAATTATTCAAAATTGCACAAAACACTCATTGCAACATTTTAACAATGTGTTATAGCTGCGATATCACCCGGGAAACTGACCACTATCAGGTGTTAAATAGGTAAAGCAAACATGAAAAACTCGCGCAGCCACCGCGAGTCGCTCCCACCAACGGGCGGCGCGTGTTCAGTAGTTTTATACAGTCGTCCACTGGTACAGTACGCCTGACCCCAAGGGACAAATATGCCATCATAAACACAGCAATGAAAGAAAACAAGTCAATTCGAAGAACTCAAGTGAAGATAGGTTCATCGGGTTCTCGTCTTGTCNTTCCAACCTTCCTCACTTCTTTACCTTTCGTCCTTTCTCTCCTTTCCGTGCTTTTGGGTCTATAATCCTTTGAGTTCCAACTCCAGCATTATTTAGTATTCCTTCCAGCGTTGCAAGATTTGGCTACTTTGCGCCAAATTTGGCTACTCTTTTATTTTATTAAGTTTTAATACTTATTACTATAATCTCGACATGCTAATCCTTAAATATACAAGTATATTTAAGGATTTGGCCAAAATATACTTGGGCCACAAGTACAGTATATATAATATACTTGTGGCCAAAAACTTCATGACTTCTTCCAATATGGCCCAGAGAAACAAAAAGGTTGGACACCCCTGCACTATATGATTGAGGACAACGCACCGTCCCATTTTCGTGGGAAATTGTGGAAAAAATGGACGTTATCGTACCCTAATTACGCCATATGTAGGCCTATGTGTGCAGTGCTACATTTAAATTAATGCCCTGCTTTGTCGCTTGGCAATTTGCAGTAATTCACTTTAGGCAAAAAAATCTGTTCGCATGCATCGAGCCATACATAGACATTTTGCAATAATTTCTCCCAAATTATTCAAAATTGCACAAAACACTCATTGCAACATTTTAACAATGTGTTATAGCTGCGATATCACCCGGGAAACTGACCACTATCAGGTGTTAAATAGGTAAAGCAAACATGAAAAACTCGCGCAGCCACCGCGAGTCGCTCCCACCAACGGGCGGCGCGTGTTCAGTAGTTTTATACAGTCGTCCACTGGTACAGTACGCCTGACCCCAAGGGACAAATATGCCATCATAAACACAGCAATGAAAGAAAACAAGTCAATTCGAAGAACTCAAGTGAAGATAGGTTCATCGGGTTCTCGTCTTGTCTGTAAACGTCGATTTTAAAAATATAGTCTGCCATGACACTGATTCCGAAACCTAATACTATGTTTGCACACAACCCACGACTCACTTCGATCTCGATTTACCTACAATCTGAATTGTGACTGTCGCCAGTCGAACGTCATGCTGTTCGCACAGGCAATCCGCTCGAGAAGAACCCGGCTGTTACACGCGATGATAAAACTGACATAACTACGCGATAAGTCACGAACACCAACAAACAAATGGTAGTTTTGGTCAGAAATAAACACTTTTTCTTGCCATATATCTAAAAATAGACAGATGTCATCGTCTCTCTAGTTGTCTTTTTATTTCTCTGTTGATATAGCCCGACACGTGTTCCGCAGCCATCTTGTATTTTCTCGCGCGCATGGGATTGTGGGATCTCTCTTATGACTGGATCTAGTTTCAAGAACTCTCTTGAGTGGATCGCGATTGAACCTCGTTTCAGTCGAGATTGAAACCGTCGAGAGAGGTCGCACCAAGGCATAGTCGCCGACCTTGGTCACAATCTAGATCGAAATGCTCGGTGCGAACGGGGTATAAGTTAGCTCGCCTCGAATATGTCTAACAGCATTTCTCAGTACATTCTAACAAAAAGTATTACTGTATTAGTTATTTATTTATTATTTTTTGGATGAATAAAAGTTCAACCTGGAGGTCATAAGGAGGTCATATGGGGGCGAGTTGACATAATATACTACGTTCGCACACAATCCACGACTTGCCCCCATTTAGTAAATAGGGACAAGTTTCCCAAAGAAGTTCTCCCGGAGAGTGCTCCCTTGGCAGATCTCCCACATTGCGTTGCCTTACCTCATTACATCCTACATCCTACATCCTACATCGAACTATATTGAAATATAAAATTACAAAAATTGAAATAATATTAGATTCTTCAAATAATTGGATTTACGTAAATTTATGCATATTATTCTTAATGAAATAGTTTATCGAATTAAACTTATTAAAGGAATCTAACTTTTCTCTCTATAAGCATTATTAAATAGTAGAAATCTAATAATAGATAATTCTAAATTTATAAAGACGTAACCATAGCAATCGAAAAACTTAATATGAACAATTATATAGACTAACGAAGTAAATGTTAATTGATTACTTACTAATTGTGTTTATACATTATAGGGCCATATTCATTTGAGAAAATAATGGATGCTTTCCAGGATCTATGGAAAAAGTATGGATCTATAGTACGACTAGACTTGGGAACACCTTTAATTGTTTTATTCGATCCGAACGACATACAGGAACTATATATAAGAAACGGATCTTTTCCTCATAGGCCAGTTTTTGAAGCATTAAAGTATTACAGAACATCNTATTTTTTGGATGAATAAAAGTTCAACCTGGAGGTCGTAACGAGGTCATATGGGGGCGAGTTGACATAAGGCAACTTGCCCCCATTTAGTAAATAGGGGCATGTTTCCCAAAGAAGTTCTCCCCGGGGGTGCTCCCTTGGCAGATCTCCCACATATTGTGTTGCCTTATCTCATTACATCCTACATCGAACTATATATATATATAAAAATGGACATGTATGTCCCTATATTTCACTTTTTCGCCAAAACTATACATCGCACGTGAATGGTGTTTGTATGTGGTGGTAGCCCCAAGTCTCTATTCGTGCATAGGGGGTTGCGTCTCGATAGCTATAAGGGTGCGGGAGATATGAGGATGAAAGTGGTTGAAAGTGGCTTTCTATTTCGAATGTTTTGTTCGATTTTTTCGAATTTGTTCGAATTTAATTCGAACATAAAATTCGAATATTGGTTCGATTATAGAACGATTGTAAACGTTCCAGAAACGTTGAAAATAGTTCGTTTGACTTGACGTGAACAGGAGGCGTTCAGAAATAGAATCGGGACCAGGTCTCTAATTAGTCTGGAAACGGAGGGCCTAATTCTTGCATTCTGAGAAAACGGGTAAGATTGGCTATACAGTAATGTAATTATGTTAATCTTCACTATCGTTACTTTTTAAAAACCCAGCGAAGCGGGTCCTTGCAGCTAGTTGAAATATAAAATTACAAAAATTGAAATAATATTAGATTCTTCAAATAATTGGATTTACGTAAATTTATGCATATTATTCTTAATGAAATAGTTTATCGAATTAAACTTATTAAAGGAATCTAACTCTTCTCTCTATAAGCATTATTAAATAGTAGAAATCTAATAATAGATAATTCTAAATTTATAAAGACGTAACCATAGCAATCGAAAAACTTAATATGAACAATTATATAGACTAACGAAGTAAATGTTAATTGATTACTTACTAATTGTGTTTATACATTATAGGGCCATATTCATTTGAGAAAATAATGGATGCTTTCCAGGATCTATGGAAAAAGTATGGATCTATAGTACGACTAGACTTGGGAACACCTTTAATTGTTTTATTCGATCCGAACGACATACAGGAACTATATATAAGAAACGGATCTTTTCCTCATAGGCCAGTTTTTGAAGCATTAAAGTATTACAGAACATCTAAACCTCACATGTATAAATCTAGCGGTATTGTGGTAGAGTTAGTATTATATATCTTTTATTACTCTAAACTTAATTATTATTAATTTTTATAGAGCTTACAATATTCAAATAACGTTCATAATGCTTAAGGATAATCGATTTCTTTCCGTACAAATGACTTATCTAATTTGATTTCGCTCGGGTCAAAATAGTATGCTCACAATACTATCTTGACTCTTGATAGTCGGAGCCACCCAAATGGTGACTGCTCCGGGGCAAAACATATATTGGAACCCTACAGCAAATTATTGCCGTTTTTTCGTTATACAAGAGCATGCTCTTATAGAACAAAGTCAAAAAGAATTATAGAGTGTGGAAAATCGGCACTAATTATTTCACATTCACACATATTCCACAAAGTACCTAAAAAACTATTTTTAAAATCTTTTATAATATCGGAAGATTTATTTTGGCTTTGTATCTTTAATAATGGTTATCAAGATGTCACTGAATAATTATTATATGTTGATGACTATTATTATATTTGAATGACTATTATTATATTTACATCGACACAGCAATGCAGTGCTAAAACAAGCTGGCACAGGCAAAACATCAAAAACAAGCAATTTTCACAGAGAAGAGCATATTCTTATAAGTACGGAAATACGGCATATTAAAAGAAACGAAAAGAAATAAATCATGTATGGGCCCTACTTTCCCGGTTCTCAGGGCAATTTCCTCCTTTTGTGCTGTCTTCTGCGCTTCCGTATTGATAGTAACTAGGGTTTCTCATTTCCCGGTCTTTTGCTTGTCCCGAGATCCCAGGATAAAAGTGAACTGTTTCCCGGGATCCCGGGAAATCCCGGGTAGAATTAATTATTTTTAAGGTATACAAAATATCTTGAAATCAAATGATATAATTATTTTCCATTTTTTAAAGTAATTTTAAAGTTCTGTAAACTCCAAAATTATATTAATAATGCTGTGTAAGGTCTATAGGCCTATAATAAAAATTACCTTTAAATAACGTAGAAATTTTCACAAATAGAAAAAAATTAATTAAAGTTTGCTGGAAACTGCATACAACAACAACAAAAAAA